GACATTCAAGAAGTCGATGGGTGCAGGTGGCTCAGGACCGTGCTTTGTGGCATACCTTGCGGATGCTTATGTTAAGCAGTGGACTTGTGAAGGGCTGTAATGATGATGATGATGAGTAATGACTTGTCCTGGCATGGTCTGAGCAGCCTGAGAGATTTAATACAAGTAATGAGTTATTGATGTATTGGTGAGACTTATTTGTACACAATTCTGTATAGCGAAATATTTCTTTTATAGTATTAGGGTGGCAAACCAGCTCTCAGTCCACCTGATGGTAAGTGGATGCTGTTGTCCATAGACATCTACATTTATCTTCAATTAGGAATCAAATTACAGATGCGTTGCCAGCCATGAGGACTGAGATGGAATACCTAGTTAAGGTTACACCAGCACCACCCATAATACGTATAAAGCGTCCATCAACATAAATAATAAACTCTGAGTATGTAGTAATTTAAGTAGACTGTAACTTAGGATTAAGAATTGTAAAAAGACAATGGTCAGAATAAATTCACATCTCATTCTGTGAATACGTAGTTTTAATTAGTTTTAAATAGTTTTATTGTTTCCAGTAAAAAGGGTCTCCGGTTCTCTACACACACCATACAAAACACAGCAGCATTAAGCTGCTATTTTACGTTGCTATTCTGTGAGAGCGTGGTCCTACCCCGGTTGAGCCGATGCATTCCTGCTTAAACCATAATATAGCTGCAGCATGGCTCTACCACATTAAAATAGTACGCTCATAACAATTCATGCAATTAATTCAAATTCAAATTCAAATATATTTAATTGCCAAAAATAGGGTAAGTGATAGGTTTTTTTACAATAAAAATAAGTTGCTTAAAGACCTATTTAGCCATTAGATACGGCATGCAACTGTTTTTTTTTAAATTACCAAATAATATAGGTGGTAGTCGATTCTAAAATGTCAAGTTATTAAATGTAAGTTATTTAATTCAAAATGTCGTAATTTACTACACCAATATCATAATTAAAATTTAAATACACTCAATCAAAAATAAAGGTCTGATAAAACAGTGATACGCAGTGATACACAGCAATTACGTCTATCATATGTCAACATGCATATTATTATCATTTTGAAATTCTTTAACACTATAATAACATTTTCTTATTAGCCATTCAGGTAACTTTTTGGTCATGAGAATCATAGAGCCGTGTTTGAACTGCTTTGAAATTTTATTAAATATTTAAGCTATTGCATAGCTTCTATCGCGGGCCTTGAGCGCGGGGACCGAATCCAGAAATTCCGTAACGAAAAAAACCTCACGCTCCCACTCCGACGGGCACGGAGGTGTGGCATTAAAAGCCGTGCATCGTCTAACGTCGTTTCAGTTCGGCAGACTTCGGCACTCGGCAGACTTCGGCACGGTGTTTGTGTGCGTGCGACTAGACGTATGCGTGTACACTAGCTGCTAACTCAATGATAAAAATTCCTGAATAACCTACATATATTGTAAGATATTAAAAATATTTTAAACAATATTGACTTCTCATTTATTCAATAAGAGAAAAAAATTGTTTTCTTATCGGTCACCACGCTCAAAAAGTGTAACTTGATTTAATATCGAAGACTTAACTGCATAAATAAAATAAATAAATAATTATAATTGCATAAGTTGATAAAAAATGCTATGCAATAGCTTTACCGCGGCAGTCACCGAGTGCCACACGTATTTTTTTACACACATACAGTAACAACATTTCTGATAGACAGAAGATTTGGTTTATGGTCTAAGACAAGCCGTTTACTATCTCTAGTGCTTCGTGGATATAATATCACAAGCTGACTTAAATAATTCTGCATGTTATTTGACAAATTTATATATTTCCAATATGTACATGCCAGGGACTGTTAATATACCCAGCTTAATAAATAGGGGCTTGCATGTATCAAATGGACCTTTACCGCATATAGCACGTATACATTTTTTTGTGCGATGAGAACTCTATTTACTTTAACCTGTTGCCCCACAGAACTAGAGCATAATTAATATTAGACGCGACGTAACCAAAATAAGCAGACATAGTTACGCTAAGAGTCGTTATCTTAGTTAAACGCCTTAAGACGAAAGCAAACTTATTAATTTTATTACAAACTTTATCAATGTGGCCCGTGAAATTTAAGTTCTCGTTAAGTACTACATCCAAAAATGAGACCATGGTAGTCCTTTCAATAGGTATGTTTTTATACAGCACATTAAGTATATTTGCTGCTCGTCCTTTTATGTTAAAATTCATGAAATTTGTCTTATTCAGATTTACATTTGGATTAATTAATTTAAGATATTGGACTATGTTATTAATTGTGTTATTAATGTCATTTTCATAATTAGTTAAATTGTCATTATAATTTGATTTAAAAATAATAGAAATATCATCTGCAAACATTATGCATTGATGTTTAGTCACTCTCGGTAAGTCGTTTATATATAATAAAATTAATATAGGACCCAGAACGCTACCCTGTGGTACTCCAAACTTATTTATTTTGTAATTAGAACGATTGGATGTAGTTGTATTTCTCTCGCTTATTCTATTTATTTCTACGCACTGATCTCTATTTTCTAGATATGTTTTAAGCCAAGAGTGAGAGAGACCTCGAATCCCATAATTTTCCAGTTTATCTAACAAGACATTGTGAACTTCAAAATCGAATGCCTTAGACATATCGAAGAAAAGTACAGTAGTACGCTGTTTATCATCGAGTCCAAGAATAACATTATGTATTAGATTAAAGCACGCGAGGGTAGTTGATTTTCCCTTTTGGAACCCATTTTGCTCCGGTGTAATGATTTTGAATTTCGTTAAATAGTTGAGCAGTCTTTTTTGCATGGCCTTTTCAAATACCTTTGATAACACCGGTATTAATGTAACTGGGCGGTAGTTACCGATTTCAGATTTATTCTGTTTTTTTGTGGATAGATTTCACGATCGAGAATTTAAGAGCCTCGGGAAAGCATCCTGTTTCAAAGGATAAATTAATTAGGTATGTATACCTGGGCTAGTTTGTTTATACAGAATTTTAACACTTTTGTTGAGATTTCATCATACCCACATGAGCTGGAATTATTTAGTGATTGTATAATACGAGTAGTTTCTGTTGAATTCACAGGTTCAAGAAAAATTGACTTTGATATATGATTGATCGTTGATAGTATATGCCTTCCATCAATTAGGTTAACGTAGTAATCATTAAATATCTCAGCTATTTTTGTCCCATTTGTTATTACACTATTTTCGTATTTCATTTGTGTAATGTAATTTTGTGGGGGTTCGCTTTCCGTTACATCTTTGATGAGTTTCCATGAAGCTTTACAAATATTCTGACTGTTCTGGAGATATTTGATATTGCAATTTTTTTGGCTATTGATATGCACTTCTTAAGCATTTTTGAATACCTCAAGTAAGCTTCTCTGTTCTCGTTAGTTTTTTGTTTATAATACTTGAAACGCAATAATCTTTTAGTTTTTATGCAAACTTTTAATCCCTTGGAGATCCATTTTGGCTTTGAATTTTTATTGGTAATTTTAATTTTTAATTTCGGAAAGCAAGATTTATAATGTGTGCAAAAAAAGATCATAGAATCGATCGAATGCTACATTCATGTTTTTCTCGTTGTAAACATCTGAGAAAGATAGTGACTGTAAGTAGCCACGAAACTTTAAAAGATTTTCATTGCAATAGTCTCTCTTGTGTAAGAACCAGTATTGTAGACAATGTCAATATTTGGGCAGTATTGTGATCAGATAGATGAAGAGGTATTGTCATGCCCTTAGCTTCTTTAAAATTACTTAAAATGTGGTCTATACAGTTATTTCCTCTAGTAGGTTCATTTATGTGAATTGTTAAATTAAATTATTTAGCCATACCTTTTAATTGTTGCGATGCTCTAGATCCCACTAACGTATTTATATTAAAATCTCCAGTGATGATAATTTTATAATGTGTGAATGTCTTTAACAGTTCATGGGTCACCGCTTCCAGCCTCGTTAAAAATGAGTGAGCAAATCTATTTTGAGAGGTGTAAACACATAATATCATTACTTTGTATTTAGGGATTTTTATTCCGCAGCACTCAAATACTTCTGGTAATAAGTACTTGTCAAAAATTTTGAGTTCGTTGCAAGTAAGGCCCTTCTGCAGAAAGATGCAGGTACCACCATGTTTATTATTCCTAGAATAGCTTGCTGCTTGTTTGTAATTTGAGAGAGTAGCATTTTTCTCCTCACCTTTTTTTATAAATGATTCTGAGAAGCATATTACATCAGGTTCTGAATCACAGTCTTTCAGTTCAGAGAGCGTCACTTCTAAAAGGTCCTTTTTTGAGAGCAAACCCGCTATATTTTGATGCAAAATAATAACGTGTTTTTTGTTTTAGGTCTTTAACAGATTGATTTGAGGATATTTTTGGGTTAATGTGTGGAACGAAAAAAGATAATTTTGCCGTAAGGGAAAGAAAAAGTCTAATATGGAAGTCTGCTTGTGTCTATATCCACAGTTTGTTAGATTTTGTTGTGATTTCTTTAACACTTTTCCGTTACATCCGCTCCTCTGAACATGGTTCTTGATAAAAGAATAGTTTAGAAATGTTTTCTCGTAATACAAAGAATCAATAAACATGTTAATACTATGACAGGCGTTCTTTAAATAACAATGATAATAATTTTTAGTTTCAATAAAGTGACCATTTTTAAACTTTTTTCATATTAATTTTAATTGCGTGTTTAATGAATTATTATTTAAATGCTTACTACTAGTTACATTCATTTCAATAACGGTGGCATGCTTTAGTAATTTCAATGCAGCATATAATTCTGCTATGGCGGTTACCGGATCATCATCGTTTTCTCCTACACATAAAATTACCTTATCGTGTGTGTCTACCTTTAAATTGGTACATATCTTTAGGACTTCTTCCGTAGATGCAAATGGCTTGATGAACGCTGTTACTTGGTAGTCCTCGTATCTGCTATTCATTCTTGACTTAGTGAGTTCTGCCGCGAGACCAATGCACTGTTGCGTCCCCATAATGAAGATATTCTGTTTGGTGAATGCATTATTTTTTTATTGTTTTCAGTTTTGTCGCGAGATGTAAGCTGTTCTTTATCCCTTTGAGTAGTGAGCTTGATGCTAAGTTCTCGTATTTGATTCTCTAGCTCGGTAATCTCTTTTTTGGCATTCAACAATTGTTCTTGCGATTCTTTCATCTTGTTTTGTAAGGAAATTATCAAGTTGTTACATTTTTTATCACATTTCTTTGAATAAATTGGAGAAAAGTGTAATGCGTGGCTATATTTAGAAGTATTTGAGGGGGTAAGTGAGACGTGAAATCCCTTATTTATCTCATTTGTGCTTTTAATTATTGGAGATTGACAGATGTTCTTTAGAACCTCAATTTCCTTTTTTAATTTATTTATTTCTCTTTTGTATTCATTGTTTTCTATTATCGTATTCTCTAACTCATTTTGTGTACTCGAGAGATTAATTTTTAATTCTTTAATTTCTTCCTTCATTTCCTGCATTTCGCATATTTTAATAGTTGAGTAATCCTTACTCTTTGAGAGCATTTCAAAGGAGGATTCCTCTAGTTCGTCGCATTCTTCTTCCATGTCGATCCCGCATGAATCAAGCAGAGGAGATGGTATATCTACAACTGATTCCGATTTAGGTGATGCAGTTTGTTTAGCTGCTGAGACAGTCTTTTTTTCTTAATGTGATGTTTTATATTCCGTGTGTGAACGTGTAAATTTTAATTCTTTTTGGCATTTTAAGCAGATTTTGCATTTCCACGCAGCTTTTTTTTCTGCTTGCATTAATCGATATAGCTTTTCTGACAAGCCAATACAATGAAAGTCGAATCTTTTTTGCATTGCGAGCATAATATCGTACCTCTGGCCTCTCTGATACATTTGCATTTATCACATATAACAGGTTGATATCGGCTAGTTTTCATGTCATTATTCTGTTTTCCGCCCATTTTTAATGTTCTTGTTTAATATTTGTCATTTTTCTTTTTTATAAAATTTGTATAAAAAAGATATTAGATATTTTACAAAAGCTAGATTTAAGTGTTAAAAGAATAAAAAAAAATAAAAAAAAATTATTTCATTATTAATTCATTACAGCCTATCAAAAACCCACTTCTAAACATAGAACTCCTCTATAGTGTGATGTCGAGCGACCCACACGATGAATAATATGTATTATTTATCTAAATTGTGGTTATGACGATTAGTCTAATTAAAGTTCTAGACGGATAAACATGTTACCAACATTACACGGATCAACACTTTACCAACGTTACACGGATCAACACTTACCAATATTACACGGCAACTCTCCAGGATTCCTAAAAGATGGACTGGTGGATTGGCAACCGCAGCTTTTATTACTTTGAATCGTTATAAAGAAGTTGCTGCTGTCCATCCTTAGCTTTATATACTTCTGTCGCCTGTAACCTTAACCATGGGATGTTATGGAGTGGAATCTCTTACGCCGCCTCTTCACGACATAAGATCCACAGCATAAAAATAAATATTAGTGTTGTATAAAAATATTAACAAGATATAATGGAAGCAGCTAGCGTGTACTTAAAAAATATGCCGGTAAAGCCAAACTTCTCCGCTTTGCCTTTAGGTTGTGTATCATCATTACGACCCTTTATAAGTTGACTGCTGAATATAGTCCTCCCCCCCCCCCCCAAGGAATGCCGCAAAGCACGGTCGTGAGCCATCTACACCCATCGACTTCCTGCACATCTTATGAGGTCATCAATCTATCTATGGGGATACTTCGCTCGCTTTTATGAGAATGCCACTTTGGAACCTTTTTCCCCATCGGTTGTCGGTTCTTCGAGCTATATGGCTGACCCATTGCCACTTCAGCTTACTAATCCGTTGTTGGGGTGTTGCAATTAATAGTAAAAATTAAAGGTTATAATTATTTTACTATCCACAAAGTTTATATTAATTTGTTGTGTAGTTGTTTTAAATTGTTAACGAAAGAAACAAGTACATATTGTACGTCATTTTTTATTTTTATATTATTTAGGCTGCAACAAGAGAACAAAAATCGAAAATTCAGTGTCTAGACTGAATGTAATTTCCGTGTAGAAAAGTTTTATTGATGCCTTAATAGACTGATACCAATATTAAATTCTTCCTTAGAATAACAAAAATATTTATTGTAATTTTATAGTAATAAATTGCCTGTTTTCGAATTTGATTTAATAACAATAAAAATCTGTTTAAAAACCTGGTGTGCAGTATAAATAATATTACTTAATTTTTTATAGAATAAGAGTGACTAAGGAGCACATTGTTCAGCCGATGGTAAATGGATGATGTGGTCCAAAGAGTGTCTAACGCCCACAGTATCCATTTACATATTTATCCTATTTAATAATGTAATGTACGTTAGCATTACATTTTCCAAAGTTCGTAATCAGAACGCATTTGCGTCGCCAGATTTTTTTATCTATCAATTCATTTCTGATACTTTAAACTAACGACCCGCTTCGGTGTTGCCCGGTTCGATGTATTAATGAGGCGTCATTTGAATCAAAAACCATTAAAGTCTCAGTTTATCGATTTCCCAAAAAAACCTGCATATTTTCGAAAAAAAAGTAGCCTAGATCATTCCTAGCATTGCTTTCTATCTGTTCTTCAAGTTTCATCACAGTCGAACATTCCAAAGATTAAGACAAAGAGAACAGACAGACAGACAGACAGACAGACTATTTTTTAAATTTTTTCCTTCTTTTCTTCGACTGTTCATGTGTTAATAGAAAATAGCTTTAAGAAGCCAGTAATTTCTGTATAAAAAGACATCTCAATCCTATTTATATGTATGCATAGGTTGCCGTTCTTTACGTACGTAAAAAATAGGAGTGTAGAGTTATATCTGTTATGGTCCATTAATAAAATACCTCGGACTGTGTTATTGGCTGGTTAAGATAAAAACCGATTCGTAAGTAGGAATGGAAAAATACAAATTGAACATACACACAATACGTATATATAGATACAATATCCAATAACTGTAGATCGGGCGACAAATTAACTATACTCGTATATCAGATACCGCTGTAATACACCTTCACTTGACTGAACATCAAACGTAGTGTTATACTATAATACTCTTTGAGAAAATCCCACACCGAAATCAAAGATATATTAATAGCATGAAATACCTATGAGATGAGATCCACTGATCCAAATTTCGAATGAACCGTGAGAACGCGATAGAATACGAGATATTACATTTGAGTAAAATAGATATGTACTTATACCGACTACAAATCTTCGCCGTAGGATATACTTGTTTCGGAGTATCATATATATTAACCAATATGTATGTTTTAAAGTATTTAGATATTACAATATATTTAAGCAAGCTAGATTCATCAAAACTCGCGTATCACCGTAAAGTACTGAGTACTGACTTCATAGATACGACACATATATATTGAAATATTTAGATTCGAAATCATACATGCAATACATGGATATTATGATTTCATATAGGGTAAGAGTATTTTGCCCATGTCTTGCGTAAGTGTCTGGTTGTAGCTGTCGCCGTTTTATAATGTAGAACCTCACCTCGCACCGTGCCAATGCGTTGAGTATTCAACAATTGGCGTAGAAAGATACTAAGAAATATATCCTCAAATAATATCGACAAAAGGAAACTAAAAAAGAAGTTGGGTGGTTTGTTGGAAACAACTTAATTGAAAACTGCGGTCTCTAACTCGCCTGCCAAGCCTGGCATATATGGTATATTCCCCCTATGACGCAATCTGTTGAAAAGTCTATATTATGTAACAATAAACTTTTATAGACTGTATTGGAAAAATAGACAAGGGGGTTAGTGCATCCGAGTTAAAGTATGTTGTGACCGACTCATGATAAGTCTACACGCCATTTATTCTCACTCACTCAACTCAGATAAAAACGTCGACCTTTAAGCTTTTTAGTGGTGTACGACACTTGAGCCTTTCATTTATTAAAAAAAAAAAATAAAAATAAAAGTATTAACTCCACATTTAAATACCTTTGAAGCAAATTGGTGTTGAATCTAGATTAGGACGCTTCTTTTTAGTGTCATTTTAACTAAAATGACGTTAACAAAATACTTCGTTTTAGGATCTCTAACTAGTTGGTTCATATCATAGGTTCAGTTCAGTTTAAAGATAAAGACAAAAATTGTAAAGTTATTTTAAAAATTAATTTCACGACCATTTTACAACGGGGTACTATTTATAAGTAACAGAGCCATGCTACAGTACGAATGGGTTGGCTCGACCGGGGAGAAATAACACTCTCACAGGATACCAGCGTTTAAAAGCAGTTCAATTCTTCTACGTTTCGTATAGTGAGTATAGAGACACTCCTTAGTGGAAAAGAATTCGGTCTAAGTTCTCAGAGGTTATAGCGCATTTGTACTTTGATTCGTAATCGAGGATATATATATAAATGCTTATAAACTACAGCGTCCACTTACACATTAGATGGTTTGTCAGTCTTACTATATAAAAAATATATTAAAATACACATTCATTCAGAAGGTGCTAGTTGTTATAGCAGACATTTGTTAAAATATGCTCCTGCTGTCGAAAGCACGACACGTCTTTATAACTTATAGGTATAAATAAAAGAGATGAACGAAATAGGGCGCTTGACATCGTTCCAAACAGTTATACAAAAATATTTAGGCAATAAAACGATAAATTATAAGCATAATTAAATGGTGTTTATTTCTTTAGCCTTTGGGACACTCAAAAAAGCATTTTTTTTAACTAAAATACAAAAGCTAATGCTTTTACTATAGCAAGAACGAAACGTTTTTAGCTTTGTAATTAAGAATTTTGGCTTGGACGCTTGTCATTTAAGCAATTTCTTCATTTTATTCAGTATCTTCGTTTTTATGGATTTTTCTTCATAATATACTAATGCGTCACCATGCGATTTTTTTAAGAGACTTTGATGACAACTCAAAGAACGAACAGTCGATGACGATAGCCACTCAAGTTCATAAGACGCCTAAGCGATCAAAATTACTCGAGATTTATATTTACATCGAAGCAATTGTTTCGTCATTTTCTCTAACAGTTTACGTGCGCAGATTAATACACATAACTGCATCAATTTCATCAAAATCCATTTCAAGCCATTATTTAAACGATAAAACAGGCGCAACAATCCGTAGATGGTCCCTACCAAAACCACCACGTTTTATGTATGTGCCAATATTTTTCTGTATTTTGTTTATGGCAATAGATAATGAACGCTGAAATTTTATTAACAGTGGTAGAGCCACGCGACTGCTTTGCTGTTGCACGTATGGTCCTGCTCAAACCGGGGTGGTACCACGACCTCACAGAGTACCGGCGTGAAATGGAAGCTCTGCTTCCGCGTTTCATCTGGTGAGTGCAGGTGGCATGGCATGCAAATCCCCCCCCCATCAACATGGTAGCGGAATTAAATGTTAAACTACCCCAGGAGGGTACCAGCAACCCCTGGAGAATCCCTAGCTGAGCATCCACGAACAAGTTACTCTACTCCTGAGCGTGGGTGCTCAGGCTGCCCCGCGTATTGGGGGGGGTTTAAAT